CCCGATTGACCACGTTGCCATTGACCACGGTCCCGATTGGCCACGTTGCCATTGACCACGGTCCCGATTGGCCACGTTGCAATTGACCACGGTCCCGATTGGCCACGTTGCAATTGACCACGCTCCCGATTGGCCACGTTGCAATTGACCACGCTCCCGATTGGCCACGTTGCAATTGACCACGGTCCCGGTTGGCCACGTTGCAATTGACCACGGTCCCGATTGGCCACGTTGCAATTGACCACGGTCCCGATTGGCCACGTTGTAATATGGAAGAATACGATTTTTCAAAAATATTTTTATTTGAAAATTTATAAAGCATTTGTATAGTATTTTTTTCCCTAGATTTTTAAACGTTAAAATTACCGAGAAAAAAATTATTAAAAATTACAATTTTTGATTATTCTTGAATATATTGATATAGACAATTTGATTATATATAAATCATTATTATGAGTGCTAAAAGAAAATACCGTTGGTGCTTTGTACCTTTGTGTCCAAATACACAAATAAAGACTCCGCAGAAAATTTTTGTACAAATGCCACAGGATGAAAGGAGAAGAAAATTATGGTTTCAAGCAGCTCATCGAGCAGATAAACCAACAAAATCATGTTATTACTGTTGTGAAGATCATTTCAATGTAAATATTAGACAATTACTGTATTTTTATATTGTATTTTCGTTACTTAATTTATATATTCTCTTTCTAACCTCTAAATGATCTATCCTCTAAATATTTTGTATTATCACGTATTTTAATGAGTAGATCGTTATTAACATTTAAAGAAAAAAGTATTGTTTTGAAAATGTTTTAATGTGTAATTTTTAATTACATTAAGTTTTTAAAATTATAAAATAATAATAAACAAAATTATTTAAAAGTATTTATACATTATTTCGTTTCAGTTGAAAGAGGATATGGAAAACTACATACGATTTACTATGATGGGAGGACCAATTATTTTAAAAAAAGATGTTGTGCCTCATATTTTTGATTGTCATCCTCAACGTAATACAGCAAGAAGTTCCAAGCCTAGATTTGCTGCAGAAAAATTAAATTTAAAAAGAACAATAACAGAAGTTTTAGCGGAATCAGAAGGTGATTGTGAGCATAAAAAGAATGTTGAAAATGCTGCATCAAGTTTTGAAAGTAATCCAAGACAACCTCCAAAACAATTTAAAAAATCATGTGCCAAAAGTGATAAAATCACCTCTGTAATTCCCTTAGTTGAAAATGAATCAGAAATTAATTATATTAATACAACTCCACAGTCGAGTACACAATTCACAAAGACAATTAAGAAAGTAATAAATATACCAAATGAAAAGGAAGATAATGGAAATCAAATTGAAATTCTCAACAGTGATTTTATTAATAACATAAATAATGTAAAACCTATAAAAAAATATTATAGAAGTAAAGGAGTTTTATGTAGACCTATCACATCTGATGCAGAATGCTTAGCGAAACCACTTATGGTAGACAGACAATGTTCACCGATTGTTTTTGAAAGTAGTAGCAGTGCATCTCAAGCTACTACTACTTCAAAAACTGTTACTAGTTCCAGTCATAGTGAATATCAACCATCAACTGATGAAATATCTAATCTACTTGAAGAAAAAGAGTTAGAAATGAAGAGAACGGCTTTACGACTAACTAATTATTTCATTTCCTCTGATTCAAAAAATTACATTGGACTTCCAAGCAAATGGTTATGGATTATTGAAGAATTACAGATATTGACTGGCATTCCTACTGATCATATAAAATTAATATTTATGAAAATTAGAAAAAATGATACTTTTAGAAGACTAGGTGATCAATTTGGATTGTCTGCAGCAGGAGCAAGTAAAATTTTTAATAGAAATGTTCAAAAAATAGCTCATGTATTACAAACATTAATTTATTGTCCAAGCAAAGATAGTTTGAAAGAAGCACTACCAATTCCATTTCGACTGAATTTTAGTAATGTAGCTGGTATCATCGACTGCTTCGAAATTCAAATTGAAAAACCTTCAAATGCTCTACATCAGGCTTTGACTTGGTCGGAATATAAAAAATGTAATACAATAAAATATTTAATCTGTATATCTCCTGATGGATTTATAATTTTTATTTCTGGAGGATATGGAGGAAGAGTAAGTGATGTGGAACTTTTTGAAAAAAGTGTAATTATGAGTATATTGCCAGAGAAAAGTGCCCTTATGGCGGATAGAGGATTTAAACAGATTCAATGTATTTTACACAAAAAACACATTGAACTTGTTCGACCACCTTCTGTTTCCACACAACAAAAATCCACAAAAGAGGAAGTGCTTTTAACAAAACGTATTGCTAGTTTACGAATTCACGTTGAACGAGTTATAAGAAGGATTAGAGAATTTTCTATCTTAGAACCACATGCTACGATAGATCACTATACAATGCCATATATTGAATCAGTCGTCAAAATAGCAGCTTCGTTGATCAATCTTCAAGAGCCTGTTATAAAAACATAGTGTTAATAACAAAGTACTTAAATATAAAATGTATTTAGGAAGAATTATAAAATTATATTTCTTTGAGTTAATCAAAAATATGGTAATAAAATAATTATATCATATAGGACCGAAAGATTAATATAAAGCTGCTTTATATGCAGCTTTATAAAGCTGCTTTTATATATATCTTCTTTAATTTTCAAGATAGAGAACTCAAAATAACATTTTAATTTTAATAAATCACTGGATATTGCACAGTGGCCAGAGCTCGAGTACACGGAGGTGAAGGGGTTCTTATTCACAACACCGTTATTTCTCTCTTGATTGCACCTTTTACAGTGTTCGCCTTTATTTATAACTTAAGTTTTTACAACCACGGAATGCGCGCGTGGTCCTCGCTTGGTCGCACATGCTTCCTCTCCCTACCGTGTCTACTCGCGTACTCGTCTTTACTCTCCTTCCGTTTCGGTATTAGGCGCCCTTCCTGCCCTCTCTCGGCGCTATATATCTATGGTTTGTAACATTTGATCGCGCGCTATATGAACGCATTACTCTCGACTAGACATACCGCCCCCTTTGAAAGACATTGACTTTCAACACCAAAACGGAGATCGTTATTACACTCTATAAAATAACACACAATAAATCATGACTAATGAGGAAGCTCCTCGTCCAACGGTAATATACATATCTTCGCTATCGCCCTTTTTGTCTCACCTACTTGCGTGCGCAGTGAGACCACTCGGACCAAGTCATCCCTTCCGCGTATTAGCTCGGTAATCCGACCGAGCCTCCACTGAGTTGGAGGTGCATTGTCATCGCGAATGAGCACTAAGGCCCCTATCTTTAAGTGAGAGTTAGGACAGGCACGTCTCCATTTTGATCGGAATTGCAATTGTGTCAGGTATTCACGAGACCATCGTTTCCAGAAGCTCTGAACGAGCTGAGTCAATAGTTGATATCTTCGCAAACGGTTTGCGGTCAATGAGGTGACGTCCCTCTCCGGTAACGCCACGATCGGCGCTCCTATCAGAAAATGCCCCGGCGTAAGGGCTGCAAAATCGTGCGGATCGGTCGACATGGGCGACAACGGTCGGGAATTCAAGATTGCTTCTATCTGAACGAATACAGTGGTTAGCTCCTCAAAACTCAGTGATGTCTGATTGATCGTTGTTTTGAATAGATTCTTTGCGGCCTTAACAGCTGATTCCCATATTCCTCCCATATGGGGGGAGTACGGGGGAATGAATTTCCATTCTATAGATTGCTCCGCCGCGAATTCTATGATCTCAGATTGTACTCTTTGGCTTTCCAGAAATTTGCCAAGGTCGTCTAATTCGTTCTTGGCGCCCAAGAAATTCCGACCATTGTCCGACCAGATACTCCCGCTCTTGCCGCGACGGGACATGAAACGCTTCAAAGTATTGAGAAAACAGGGGGTCGATAAATCGGACACAATCTCCAAGTGAACTGCCCTTGTGGACATACAAACGAATACGGCCAGATACGCCTTTCCGGTCTTATTTCGCGAGATCTTAATGCAAAATGGCCCGGCGTAATCTACCCCTGTGTTCGTGAATGGTCTCGACGGTACAACCCTGTCCGCGGGGAGACTACCCATCAATTGTCCCATTTTACGCGGAGCTCTGCGGAAACACAATATACACCTACGCAGTACGCCGCGGATCGCCGTTCCGGCGGAGATAATCCAATATTTTTCACGCAAAATTGACATCAATGTATGAGCACCCACGTGCAAATTTCTGTAATGGGCGTCGCGGATTACTAGAGTCGTAAAAAAATGTTTCTTGGGTAATAGGATAGGAAATTTTGTGCTGTATGGTAAGGTCGAATTTCGCAGACGACCCCCCACTCGCAGGATGCCCTCTTCGTCCAGAAATGGATTGAGAGACAATATCGTGCTCTCGGAGCTGATCCGCTGTTGCTTCTGAAGCTGACGCAACTCCCCCGGGAACGACAGCAATTGCACAGTCCTGATGAGGGCGCTCGTCGCCCCGTCAAGCTCCTTCACGGTGAGCGCCCCGAAACGACGCTCACTTTTAACCCTGCGACGCACGTTGCCTATAAATCGGAGGCAATAGGCCGCCACCCGTCTCAGTCGCACCAACGAAGAGAATCGATCGATCAGACCCCATGCCTCGGTCGCCGTCAACACTACCGGACGGGTCCTCGCCTCGTCCTCGGGAATCTCGCCTAACACCAGATGCCGCGGCCACAAGTCCGGCGACTGGCTCAGCCAGCCAGGCCCCGTCCACCAGAGTGAGGATGATGCCAAATTCTCGGGCTCGATTCCCCTTGTTATCATATCAGCGGGATTGCTGGAGGTGTCGACATGCCTCCACTGGTTGCGTTCGGAAAGAGTCTGGATCTCCGCAACGCGGTTGCCGACAAAAACCTTCCAGTGTGTGGACTCCTTGTTTATCCAATGAAGGACTATGGTGGAATCAGTCCAGTATACCACTTCGTGAAACCGAACGGTCCAGGCCTGTATCATTTTGCTCACCAGATTGGCCAGAAGTACCGCGCCACACAACTCCAAGCGAGGAATGGATGTCGCAGCAGGGGGCGCGATGCGGGATTTGGAACAGAGCAGGTTTACATGCCGGATTCCCTCGCAATCCACATGACATACGTAAACAGCTGCTCCATAAGCCTTCTGAGAGGCGTCGCAAAACCCGTGCAGCTCCATCCGTCCACGTGAATCTCCAGCCAAGCATCGAGGAACGCGAATCCTCGGCATGTCGGTGAGCTGGCGTCTATAATGACGCCACTGCTGCTGAATGTGATCAGGTAATTGGCTATCCCACTCGATCTTCAGTTTCCATAACGTCTGCATGAGCATCTTGGCCTTCAAGGTTACCGGGCTGATGAGCCCAAGAGGATCGTAGATATGTGCTATCATGGATAGCAGTTTTCGTTTTGACATCGCCTCCTCGGCGGGAAGATTGATCTGGTAGACAAACTCATCACGCCCTGGATCCCACAACAGGCCTAGGGTCTTCACTTCCTCCGAAGCCAGCATTCTATTCGGCGCATCGACCCGAGCCACAATGTCCGACACGTTCGATTGCCATTTGTGCAGCCTCATTCCAGCCGACGACAGGATCGAGATGATTTCTTTCTTGATCTGACGAAGTTCACCTATGGTGGCGGCGCCAGTGAGCATGTCGTCAACGTAAAAATCTCTCTTCAAGACAATCGATGCCCCGGCGCGGGCTTGGTTTTCATCCGCAAGCTGATGAAGACATCTGATGGCCAAAAATGATGCCGCAGCCGTTCCGTACGTAACCGTGTTGAGTTCATAAACTCTTGCGGGCTCCTCTGAATGCTCGCGCCACAGAATTCTCTGCCATCGTCGATCCTCGGTTCTCAACAAGATCTGTCGATACATCTGAGATATGTCGGCCGTTAAAACATATGGGTGCTGCCGGAAGCGGGCGACGATGCTCACCAACTCCTGTTGAATCGCGGGTCCGACCATCAAAATGTCGTTCAGCGATTTCCCCGACGATGTCTCGCAAGAAGCATCGAATACCACTCTCAGTTTGACGTATCCTTCCGGGCCCCTGCATACACCGTGATGAGGCAGCAAGTTTCCCACCGGTCCCGCGGGCCCACCATCCACCAGTGACATGTGGCCTGCGCTTTCGTAGTCTCTCATAAACTGTACGTAGCTCGCGTATAGCTCCTTGTTCCTCCTAAATCGTCGCTCCAATGATCGCAGTCGCCCATAGGCCGCACCGAACGACTCCCCCAACTCGCGCGGATCCCCCTTAAACGGCAGGGAGACCTCATACCTGCCGACTTCGTTCCGACGCGTGCCCTTTACAAAGTGCTCCTCGCACGCTCGCTCCTCAGCGCTCAACAACCTTCTTGATTCGCATCTCTCTATCTCCCAAAATCTCTGTAGCTGTTGATTTATCAAGCCGTCCGTCGCGCTGCAACAAATTACCGGAGATCGCGCCGGAGCCGCCCGCGAGACTCCCCCCCCGAGAATCCATCCTAAATGAGTGTTCTGGAATATAGGCTGCGAGTCACTCAATCGAATCCGTCCGCCGCGCAGCAGGGACCAAAAAATGCCTGCTCCCAGCAGCAAGTCAATCCGCTGGGGCACGTTGAAACGGGAGTCCGCAAGGTTCGATAAGGATATAGACTCGGGAATCCGAACGCAGCTCAAATCGATGCGGGACTCGGGAAGGGGACAGGTGATCGACTCACTAACTATTAATTTGACTGGTTGCTCATAATTCGAAAGACGCGATCCTATAACTGTTTTTACATACGCCTTGGTGGACGTTGTCTGCTCGTTGAACCCCGATATCATCTGTTCCGACCTAATCTCGGGTAAACGCAATTTTTTGCAGAGCTCCGCGGTAATAAAGTTAAGCGTTGCGCCACTGTCCAACAAAGCACGCGCCTCGCGCCACTCATTCACATTGTCTCTAATCTTAACAAGCGCTGTCGATAGTATGATCGCGGATTCGCTACGCTGGGAAGCACACGCGACCAATGAAGAACTCGATGCCTCGTCAAGGCCACCCCGCGTCGACGGGGATGGTTGACCTCCCGCAAGCCGAAGGCCTGGGTGCAAAAGGGAATGATGTCTTCCCTGACATGGCACTATCTTACAATGGCGGGCCTTGCAATATTTTGCTGAATGGCCTCGGTTAAGGCAGTTAAAGCACAACCCAAGCCTCCTGACCTCGGCGCATCGCGATTCTACTGACATATTGTTAAAAACCTTACACGCATACAACTTGTGGCCGCCCTTACATAATTTACATTCAGTCTTATCAGTCGTTACAACATGTGAAACACCTTTCTGTACCTTAACATTTGACCTCTTATCATTCACGCCCGACATCGACTCTAACATAAAACATTTCGCCTCAAGAAACTCGAGCAAGTCCTCAGTTTTATTCAATTTTTCGCGAACGGACTTCTCCTCCCACTCCCTGCTGGTTACCGAATCGAGCTTCGAAAGAATCCACTCGTTGATGATAGTGCTCCAGTGCTCTGTTGGCTCCTTGAGGGCAGTCAGCGCGGCTAACCTCTGCTGCACTTCGTCCGTGAGCCCCCGCAAAGCTACCGCCGTTTCCCTCTCCACCGGTTTCAATGCGAAGATGGCGCGAATGTGATGACGGGTGGCGAGACGTGAATTATCGTATCGCCTCTTCAACAGATCGAGCGCGCTCTGGTAGTTCCCGTCCGTGATCTCAATCGATTCGATGGTTCTCTTTGCATTAACGTCGAGGGCTGAAAGCAGATAGTACAACTTTTGCAAATTAGATAGGTTAGCATTTCTGTCAACCAACGCGGAGAACGGTCCATGAAATGCCTGCCACTGCTCATAGGTGCCGTTGAACGTCGGGAGATTCATCGTCGGCAGCCTAACCGTTCCCACGTTGCCAGCTCTGACTTCTCGGGCATCATTTGCGTTGTTTACATCTACGTCCTCTTCCTCGACCGACACGCGCCGACCTTGTGGTTGCTCGCTCTCAGCCATGATCACTCGCGCCTGCGTCATCACTCATAATACGCGTTCTCGAAAGCCGTTCGCTCCCCTTCCTGCTTGGCAATGAAATCCGGCGTATTATCCAGCGCTTCTATCGCGCCTTGCGTCTCGTCAAAACGATCCCACAATGCTTCCGCTCGCTCCAACCGAATCTTCATCTGCATTATACTCGCCCGATCTCTCGCGTCTAAGGCCTCTACGAATGTCTTAAACTTTGTTAACTGCGAGCGGGTCGTCGCGCGACGACGCTTCAACTCCTCGTACTGTTGCTGCTTGTCAGTGGACATCGTTGATCGTTGCAAATACCTTCTTTAGTGATCTCCGTCCGACCTTCCCTCTCAGCCGCGTGGCACGTGATAATGGCCGCCGTCGCAGCCGTTAGGCAGCTCTCCCGTTCGCTCGCCAGCAGCTCGAGGGGCCCACACTCGTTCCGAATATGAATGTCTCTCACCAAGCAATTGTTCGCACCACGCCCCGGTTCACCTCCTTGACACTCTGGCTGATTCTCGGATTTCGGCTTTGCCGAATCCGGCTCGAAGGACCATTTGGATATTGCACAGTGGCCAGAGCTCGAGTACACGGAGGTGAAGGGGTTCTTATTCACAACACACCGTTATTTCTCTCTTGATTGCACCTTTTACAGTGTTCGCCTTTATTTATAACTTAAGTTTTTACAACCACGGAATGCGCGCGTGGTCCTCGCTTGGTCGCACATGCTTCCTCTCCCTACCGTGTCTACTCGCGTACTCGTCTTTACTCTCCTTCCGTTTCGGTATTAGGCGCCCTTCCTGCCCTCTCTCGGCGCTATATATCTATGGTTTGTAACATTTGATCGCGCGCTATATGAACGCATTACTCTCGACTAGACAATCACAATTTTTTTAGGTATCTTCCTCGTCTCATTTCTTTTGAGTCAAATTTTTTAGATGCCCCTAACAGTTTTTGTACAAAGCTCCCATCTTTAGTCTTGCAATTAGCTGCTTCATGTATTACGGAGGCAGTAATTCTCCCATATCGAAGTTCATGCCATAATAAACTGTCACTCTGCTGCTTTGTTTCAATTTCTATTTTAGAACATAATTCTTTTTTCAATTGAGAAGTGGCAAATTGTATAAAATTACTTGCAGAAGTTCCTTTATTTTTTAAAAATTGTATTAGCAGTTGGTGTAAAGATAACGAATACACCTCTCTTTCTAATAATGGAAAATTATGTCGTGATAATTGACTGTCTATTTGTTTTTCTTTGGCTTTTGTCATAATGTGATATAGAAATGTTGAGTTATCAGGTAAATTGTTTATTGTAGAAATTTTATCTTTGCATAACTCATTTACTTCAATGTATTTCTTTGTGGTTTCAACTGTTCCTAAAATTGGTTTATTCCAGTAACATTCTACCTCTGTTGGAGAACGATGTTCACTTTTGCGATGAAGCCACATTAAAAATGCCAATGCATGCTTACAACCACCTAAGAAAAAATAATTAAATTAATTATTGTATATTCATTCTGTTTATAGCAATTCTTATTTAATGGAGTAGGTACTAAGACATTTTTAGGAAAGATATTGTCAAAGAAGAGATTATCGAAGAAATAAAATGATCATTTTTTATACCAAGTGTACTATATTAAATTATAGAATTAAACTGCGACAATTTTAATATCATTATTATTAACTATAGCAATATTTAATTATTTAATATAACACGAACAAATTTCTGTATTCTTTCAAAATTCTTTATTAATAAGAAGTGTAGGTTCTTACCTAATGATGCTGAACAATCTTCACATGTAACATTTTCAATAACTTCATCTTGTGTATTTACAACTAAAGAAACTGTATATTTCTTGCTTTTCACTCGGTGTTCAGGACATATTTTTCCTTTAATGATGCAAATCGAAGATTCTCTTCGTAAACAAACATAACCTATGGCTGTATCGCCGTAACTTTCTCGACTAGATCTGCATGGAAAAAGTTTTAATGTTTTAACAGCATGGAAAAATGTTTCATATAAGAAATTTTTAATATCATGACCGATTTATTAGTACTTATATAATTTTGTACTTACAAAGATGCTTTAACCAAACGTATCTCTGCTGCATTGTATCTAGCATCATTTTTGACAAATTCAGCCACCATAAATATGTCTATTTTTGGTTAGTTGAATCAGCTTTTACGAATCCTGGTTCAACCATTTCGTCACAAATTATTAATGATTCTCACAAAATAATACTAGACAACAGCTCACAAGACAACAACTCACAGCAGACGCAGCAGACTACATACATTACGTGACGTCATTATCGAATCGACCAATCAGCGACTGTTTTGAAGTCACGTGCAAATTTTGAAAACTTATAACATTAATTTTTATAATTTTGATTGTATATTGACGTAAAAAAATCAATTTTTTGTGTTGATATTTTTTAAATAATATGTACATTTATTTAAAGAAAAGCAATTATATACTTTATCATTTGTATTCTTCCCTATTGACCACGGTCCCGATTGGTCACGTTGCAATTGACCACGGTCCCGATTGGCCACGTTGCAATTGACCACGGTCCCGATTGGCCACGTTGCAATTAACCACGGTCCCGATTGGCCACGTTGCAATTGACCACTGTCCCGTTTGACCACGAGCTAATAGCGCGCGCGCACGCACGCACGCACGCACACACGCACACACACACACGCTTCCGGTAGGAAGTTTGTTTGTTAAAAAAATTTTTTATTTTGTTACACAATTGTGTTTTCTTTACACCGGTTGATTTGTATCATTATTCTGTTCAAAAAAGTATTAAGGTAAGATGATAAAAAAATGAAAATTTAACAAGATATTTTGTAATTTATGTCAAAATATTGGAACTTTCAAACCTTAATAACTCAAAAAGCTCTTAATACAAAAATACTTTATTATAGCGTTTTGGAAAGTTCTCGAAGTCAGCTACAAGAATATGTAATAAAAAATAGGGGATGCTATTTAAAAAAATTGGTATGACCTTTATGTGACCTTCAAATAATTCTTCAAGGTCAAACCAATGGTATCATCTTATGTCCCCCTCGAAACCGTACAACTTTTGTCAGAAACATTTTTGTCTGCTGGGCTCAGTTTTCGAGATATTTTACTGTCCAAGTTAAAATGGGACACCCTGTATAGTCTACAGACAGTAAGAGCGCCTTTGGGAGAAACACAAGTAACTTCTATCTGGAAAAACTTATAATAAAATTGAAAAGCTTTCGCATTCGTGGATTTACAGATCGAGATCTTGGTGTACAAATTAGTGAACTTGTACATCGTACGCTCATAAAATGAATACACGGGTTCATATACCACCAGCATTTTATTTTTTTATCGTTGGCAAGACATTGAATAATTAAGAAATAACTATAACAGAACACACATAATCTTGGACTCGGCGATTTAAATATAGATTAATTACCAATACGAACGAAAGTCTCGCAGATGCGTTAATCCAAAAAGAAAAACGAACGAAAATATTACAAAAGATAAATAAATATCACCTTTTAATACAATTATTGGTAAGCTTTATTCGTATAGTTTCCAGAGTATTCGGTAATCTTTATTTATCTATTAATTCTATAAATCGTGGGGACAACGCTTTTCATTCGGGCAAATGTTCCAAGATCGGTGTACAAAATTTCGCAATTTCCTTTTCTTGACAAAATAAAAAATGTGCGCACGCCACGCAGTTTTCAACGGCTTAATATTCGTAATTGTGAAACTGTGTCTGCGTCCCCCGCAAAAACGAGCGGGCGACAAAGCCGACCCGTATTTTTTTCCCCCTTTTTTCCTTGCATCTCGCGAATAAAGACCTATAATAAAAGATGCGCCAATGACTCCCCACCACGTCTCCTGTCCGCCATCTTGTACCCGTATGACGATGGCTATATATATGTCTATGGCTGCAGCCTACTCCACGCAGCAGCTGCAAATGAGTTGCTCCAGAGAATGTAATCTTCTTCTTTATCTTGTTATGGCACTCAGCTCTTGCAGTGAGCTGATACGACCACGACGATCACTCAGAGAATGTAATAGTGACGATAATACAGATTGAATTTGACCTAAGTTAAACATGAAAGTGCAAGTATGATTTTTGCAGTTTTCAGAAAATGTGTTATATATATGTTGGGTAACAGCTTAAATCACAATGAATTGTTTTGTTTTCCAGATTTTCCAGTACTTTCATCGTTTCTCGTAGACGTCATTCTACTTTTCTTCAATCCTTGCAGATGCACTCTACGTTCTACTTTAGAGGTTAGTTTTTATTTACTGCAAAATTGAGGAGTATTCGTCAAGTGTCTCAACCATTTAAGCTGCGTTTTGATATTCATTGCCAGTACTGAAAATCTAAGTGTATTGACGTAAATTATAGATTTACATTACAGTAGTGAATATAGGAATGAAGCTTTAATGTATGAATTTTGTTTGCAGGCTATCCTCTCTGAAATGGAAAAGTCATGTGATGAAGTCAACTCAGAAAATACTGGACACTGCCACAATTCTGGTCGATTATCCTCTGAAGAATCAGAGCTGCAAGCTCTACAAAGGGAGTGTGCGAGCGCATCTGAAACCATCAGGTGTTTGAAGTTGGAGCGTGACAAAAAACTTAGGAGCATTATAAGAATCCTGTGTGAGACGAATCGAATGAAAATGGAAATGCATTGCATGGAACATATTTAATGTCTGGTGCACACTTTATAGTCGCTGCTTTTGTACGATCTTGGACGTGTAAGAGTTAATACTGTTTATTTTTTATTTTTAAAGCCTAGCTGCAAAACAAAATTTGTTAATGAGTACAGACAAATTAAAAAATTTTAAACAATATGTGCATTATTAATTTTTATTCACCTCCAAACTTTTATTTATGTTATACATTATCACATTAGAGACCTATTCTCTATATCACATGTGTCATACATTGGACTCAAAAACAAATCACAGACAGAGTACCAATAAAAAAATAAAATAAAAATAAAATTAAGTTGTATATGTATATTGTGTTATATTGTATGTTATTTATGTTATACATAAATAACATACAATATAACACAATACCAAGTGTAAGCGTAGCTAGTACACGCGTGTACATTATCACATTAGAGACCTATTCTCTATATCACATGTGTCATACATTGGACTCAAAAACAAATCACAGAGTACCAATAAAAAAATAAAATAAAAATAAAATTAAGTTGTATATGTGTTATATTGTATGTTATTTATGTTATACATAAATAACATACAATATAACACAATATATAATATAACACAATATACATTATCATATTAGAGACCTATTCTCTATATCACATGTGTCATACATTGGACTTAAAAACAAATCACAGACTGAGTACCAATAAAAATAAAATAAAATTGTATATGTATATTGTGTTATATTGTATGCATGGCCATGGTTTTGCTACCGTAATGACTCTTATTGACATGTGCTAAATCTTCACAGCATTTAATGCTGTATATCCGTAGCCTCATAGTAAAAAATTTTTTTAAAATTTGTTGTGTAATAGAGTGGCATGTGGGTATATTGCAGTCATCCCACACATATTTCATTTGCTCTATTAAAAAGTCCACTGTGTTAATTTTAATTGTCTCACACAAATCATTCCGTATTTCTCTGAATGTTATTTCTGATTTTGCAATTGCTTTAAAGCAATCGTCGGAAATTTCAATGAGATTGTTGTCTCTGTAATTCTTCATTTCAGTTACGAGGGAATAAGGGTGGCGGTCTTTTCCCTGATGTAGGATGGAATTGAAACACACATCACAAATTGTCGTACTACCTATTTTTATATTATGAAGAACTGATCCTGCCATGTCATATATAATATGCAATTCCCAAGGATTTAATAGATTTATATGACGGTCTTTCAATCGAGGTAATACTAAAGCAGATGATTCCATTAGTTCTTCAATAGCATTTTCTGCACGTCGTGCTGTAGCCAAATCTGTAGAAAATTTCATGAAATCAATTGTTACATCCTCAATATCCTCATCGTAGGTGTCTCTATCGTAGCTGGTATTTTTGTTTGCGTGAGTGCAGACTTGGCTCAGCACCAAAACCCTCAGATTTTGTTTAACTTGGAGGGGGTTTGGGATGGGTTGCCTCACTCTCAATATAGAAAACAGGTTTTCGAGACCACACTGGCAAAACCGCCCAGTAAGCACAAACTTGTAAGAACGCTTGTTCAAAAAATAATCCTGCAAACCAATGATGCTTGTGCATGCGATGATGACGCCTGTTTGACAAGGCTTCCAATGTCTGTCAGTGCCAACTTCTATAAAACGAAACACAAAAGCAGTTTTCGTGATATGGTTGATGGCTTTCTCATATGCTTCCCTGTTCAATAGGCCAAGAGCCAGCTTCGAAGATCTGTTTGACATTAGATCAAACCAATGGCTCACTAATCTAACAAAAGATGCAGTGGTCTTATAAGCATCTTTACCAGTACGCTCAGCATACTTTTTCAGGGCAACCTCAGTTCGTCGATTAAAGACTGATCTAGCCGTTCCAACTTTCATCTTTTCGTAGGAATTCTTGCAGTGAAGCTTAGCCTTCCTCAACCTATAAGCTACCTTCATTTCAAATTGTAATTCAAATTCTAGCACATCATCTATATGTTGGATATCGGCTACAGGATGCGTTAGTTTTTCTGAGACAAGAAAGTCATGGGGGAGGTAAATAATTTTGTTGCTTTCAAACATAGTTAGGATATTTTTAAATAAATGTACTGGATCTGGTAGAAAGTAAAATCTATCCTCTGGCCTAACTGGGTGCTGTATACTGACTACAGCATCAGATTCACGTGTGCAACCAACATCAAATGCATTCCACATAGCTCTATTTTCAGACCCCATGTCAGTTGTAATTGAGTGGACTTTCAATCCTATTTTTTCACACTTGTCAATGACTTTCAATATCACATCCTTCAAGGCAATACCTTTTGCATTAGCCTTTTCATCTTTTATTTTAGGATCTTCCTTTCCAGTAAAAAAATATGCCACAACAACTTTCCACCTTCTATTAATTCCTCCACACATAATGACAAGGACTTTCTTAGCCGGCCCGACATGAGTAGGGAAGGTGCATTTTCCAATCATTCTTTTAGTTGACGGGTCAAAAACTAATCCAGCTTTAATTGCCATCTCATCGGCAACAATCATACAGTCCTTTTCATTTTCAGAGAAGCTTTTTACTGTATGCTCCAGCATGCCAAAGACCTCATCTAAGATGCCACTTTCAAATTGAATGTGCTGAACCGCTCTTTGCAGGGTCCTCACTGATGGAAAGATGGCTAAATAATTCACAAAATCAGAATAACCAGCAGTACCCCACTTCATTCTGAACACAAGGGCATCCTTGATAGTTTCTAGTTTCCACTTAAGCCCACGATTGGACTTCCTTTCTAGAGATGCAATCTGATCAGCATGTAATTTTGTTAAGGCGAGAGTGACCTTGGCTTTGCTTTGCTCTGAGCGCCGCAGTTTAAACCTACATTTATCATAAATAGACTTATAAGCATAGAATTTTTTTTTCGCCTTTTGAGTTATGTCATTCAAAAGCTTGTTGTCGTGTTTTAAAGCTTCTATTTCTTCCTTTTGCTTTTTTATCAGATTTTGTAATTCTTGAATTTGTAAAGCTTCTATTTCTTCCTTCTTATTTTTCACCTGATCTTGAATTATTGTTGTACTTGCGGTAGATGGAGAATGAACTTGCGGTATATGAACCGCTTCATAGGTAGCACAGATGTTGGCCAAAATAGATAATGGGTCAAGATCATCTAAAATGACAGATGCAGAAGAGATCGTTTATAACTAGTTTCCTTTGAAGAGTTTATAGCATAGAGATCATGAGAGAGGCAAGAAGTAAATGAGAGACCTTGGTTAGCATCCTGTCGCACACTCTCCACTGCAATGTTGCTTGTTCTGGCTATTATTTGGCTTTTTGCAGCTTGAATAGGTTTTGATAGCTTAGGCTGATTTGAGGCGTAGCTGTGGTCATCAGATAAGCGGTTTATTTGTGCGGTGAGATTTTGGAAGGTATTTTCTACAGGCAAAGATGTCGTAGGTACTGCAAGATGCCGTAGCACCCTGGATCCATCTGCACGCACTATCTCCCACTGTGATGCGGCAAAGTGATCCTGAAATTATGACAAAATTAATCAACGCATTATGATCAAGTATCTTGAATTTTGTAATTAATTATCTAAATGTATCTTGTTTCTAAATACTTTCTAAGTATCTGCCCAACCCTGACAAGAGGCAATAAAAATATCTCACCTCACAAATGCAGCTACAGACTGTAGGTTGCCAGAATCTCCGTCCAGTCCGCGACACCCAAATAAAACGTCTCTCGGGATCTTTAGGAAAACTAAAAAGTTTCTTCCCCTGTCCCTCTCGAATATTGCAGCCCTTCATTTTACACGTACGGACCATTTCAGCTGGACGTCAAAAAATAGAACAGTGAAATGATGTACGATATTCATTGGATTTAAAGGACTATATGATTCTAATGTAAATATCCAAAGTAATATACAGGGTGGGCCATTTTAATCCGTACACTCAATATCTCAAAACGTATGTAATATGTAAAGCAATGACAACGCGCAGAGGCAAACTAACCCTACATTGAAAATATTTACCGACTATAGTATTATATTGAGATTAAATAAAACAGGTACAAACTAACTCTACATTTTGAACTTGTATTATATATTACGTAAAACACAAAATATTACCTTATAATTTCTGACCATGTATGATTATGTATATTTTATAACCTAAGCAGGCTCGATCTCGTCCCCAGTGCGGGTACGCAATGGCGGACAAACCATGTGACTCACATTGACCAATCACGGCAATGTGCGGCATTGGCGCATCTTTTATTATCACGAGACACGGTAGTGTCTCGCGCCAAGTGTAAGCGAAGTTAGTACCACGCGCGCGAGACCGACCGTGTAAGTTTACGCGAGTACACGACTTGACGGGCCCTCAGATTTTTTTTTCTCAACAATGGCTGATCCCACGAACTTGAGACTGCGCTTAATCGATAGCTTGGGTACGATTTGCATAATAAAACTATTTTTACTTTTCTCCTACG